TATACGAAAGCAACAACTGCATGGTATCGACTACAGTATGTCACGTACTTCATCAAAAAAAGCATGATCCATCATCAATGGATCGTGAAATGCTGTAATCCTATTGGATGGTCTGAACCGTAGATTTACGTCATTAAATTCGATCTGTCCTTTCCGTACCGACGGCTGCAGAATATCTTCTGTTAGCATTTTGGCATCGATGCTGTCATTCGATTGGCATTACCAAGAAACAGAGGAAAATTAGTATAAAAAAGTCCGAAGCCACTCTTAAGATGGCTAAATGCGTAGTCATCTTGACAAAAGATTACTGTATTTATTATGCAAATATGAGTGCTCAGTAATAATGAAAGCCTTCGGGTTTTGCTTAAAATTTTTGCATTTTTTAGTCATAAATTTTGCGAACGGCCTTTCTCATGTCATAACTTTAATCCAATGAACCAAAATATGTGATGTAATTCATTACCAGAATCATGTTTTCCATCGATCGACCATTTCTTCTGGAATTTGACATATATTTGTGAAATTATCCGTTTGGTTGATAGACTTTACAAAATCAAATATTCTGGTGCTACTGGTTAGGGAGATAATATACGTCGTTATTCACTTTTTTATGAAGATGTGCAGGCAGCTTGTTAATCTTCTAAATGGGTAATTTACATTTTAATTCATGGTAATAATTTAAGTTCATGGTAATAATTAATAGTTAAATGAATCCCGAGGGAAGGTGGCACCTGAAAATTTAACATGTGCAACCTACGACGGGATGATGCTTTATGGAAGGATGATAATGTAGGCTGATTTCGCTGTGTCTTCCAGCTTAACAACTGATATAATCAGACTGCATATAATTGACCAATCTGGTATCTTTCATTAACTAAGGTCATTCAGAGAAGATTTGCCGTAAAACTAAAACAAAAAATTTCTAGTCTTGACGTAGGATGATCCTTACAAAATGAGGGTAATGATTTCGCACTAGCAACCTGTTGTTCATTCCTTCTGTAAAATGACAATGATTAGCAGGATCAGTACGGCTTGTAGCATGTGATTTACAAATACTCAAAGAAAAGAAAGGTTCAGAAGTTTCAATTACTTTTCTACTTGATATTTTTACAAAGGAAAGTGAGGGAAGTAATAAAGGCATCATGATGGGAGTAGTGAAAAATAGCAAATTATCAGACCACCTACTAAGGGGTATGTTTTACGTCCAGGGCATGCGTGCATTATGCTACCGTTGTGTGGGTTTCTTTAATGATGAGAAAACTTCGAAAATGTACTTTACTGTGACAGTGTTCTTTGTGTGACAAACTCATCATTTGAGGAATCGAAGGTATAAAAAAATGATAGAAAAAAACGATATGATGACCTCTGAGGAACGTCCATTGCTTCTTCAGGAAAACGGTACCTCGACTAACAGCCTTTAAGAAGAAGAACCGCCACCTTGCGTCCAATCGTACGGAGGTCACCGAAACACGAAGAGAATATTTTGAATCGCTCTTTCAACCCGATATAATTTTTAAACAAAATTTTATAGAAGACAAACGGTGGACACCGCCGGATCGCTGAAGAAGTGAATCGAAGACTTGGGCCATCTGATAAACGACAAATTTTCAAAAATTGATATGATATTTGCAAGAAAAATTAAAGAGTCCTTGATGGATGAAATGCTGGCATTTGTGAATCTCTTGGGACACGTATGGCAGAAGGATCATATCCAGAATGAATGGATGAGAAAACCGTTGGTTCCAATACATAAGACTGGCACTTTCACGTAACCAAGCAACTACCGTGAAATAAGTTGGCCGTCCGTTCTCGCCAAATTGTTCGTGCATGTTATGATGAAGACGATTAGAAAACATCTCGAGAAGATTTTGGGTGAAGAGAGGTCCGCACAGCACCGGCATTTAATGATGCGACCAGATGTTCGCAATGAGACAACTGACAGAAAAGAATTGAGAATTATGATCCACGTTCTTTGCAGTCTTTCATGTTTTCACCATAGCGTTGACTCATTTTTCAGAGGTACCTTGCGGCAAATAGCTGAGCAATGAGGAAGAATTCCACGAAAGATCATTCGCATAATCTTATTATAAGTGGAATAAAAATTTACAGTAGATTTAGAAAATTCCCTCATGCAAAGTTTTGACTAAGGCAGGACAGGGGAAAAGCTATTCTGCTGTTCACGAAGATGCTTGGCTGATTGCTCTGGTCAAAACAAAGCAGTGAAGCTAAGGCGGCAAGAATAGAAACATGCAGTGAAGCTCTTGCATATGCAGATGATATCCTATTCTTGCAGCCAAATTCGAAGATGCTGCAGCACCATTCTAAACTCTGAAGCAGAAGTGTTCTGATACTGGTACCTAATTCTAGGAGAAAACGAAATAGACGAATATTGATATAATCTTTTTGCAATATCTTTCTGACCCTTGACGTCGAAGTTGTGGGAAAGGTACCAGGGCAGCTACTTGTTGACGGTACATCGACTGCAGACGGACGAGTGGCAAGAAGCGTCGTTCGTTGTTATTAACAACAAGTTATTCAAGCTCTGGAGGGACAGTGATGTTGGCAGTGACATAAAGCAGAGGATATACAGGACTTGCATTCAGAACATATTGGACAATATGGCCAAAGCACAATAGCACTTAACAGAGCTGAACATAGAACCGTGAATAAGACAGAAATGAGGATTGTGTGGTCATTATTACGATGGAGCCTGTAAAATATGGTATCAGTTGCAGTTGTGATTATTGGATTATAATATGCAACTAAAGTGACGGATTGGTTGAAAACCAGGATTTGTACTGGTGACGTTCTGGTCAGCGAATGAGCCATAGCCGTTGTGTGAAACGGATACTGAGCACCATCGGAAAGACCTTCAACGAAGTGGAAACATATCGCTGGAACTGATTCGACCTCGAAATAACTGAGGAGTTAGAGTTAGCAGGTATTCGATACAGGAGGAACGCTTAAACGGCCATTGACGTCGTGTTCGATGCTGTGGTATAAGCGGTAGAAGAAGCAACAGTCGACCACGCCATCGACGTCATGTTGAATACGTGCGAAAGGTGTATCGAAACATGTGAAAAAGTGGTGATTGCTTCGTCTGGCAGTGATCAACAAGGACAACGGAACAAGGAGCGAAGCTGGTGAAAGCCCCTGTGACGTTACGCCTTTGCCATCAGGACCACGAAGCTGTACGACGAAGCACCGCTGTCATGCGAAGCTGCCAACGTGCAATGAGACGTTCTACTAAAATTAGGCAGCAAATGAGTGAAGTGAGTGGACAGCTGTTGAAACTCATCCTCGTAGCCCTCTTGATGCTGTCGGTTTAAGTTTTTTTGGGTATAGCCTCAACTGCGGTTAATAAGCCTCCTTCGTTTGTTGCATGCTCGAGTCGAGTTTTCTCTGTTTCATGCGTATATTTA